TCCAAGAATTGCCATCAACAGAGAGGACTTTCCACTTCCAACTGGTCCTGTTACAGCTAACATCTCACCCTGCCTCACACGTAATGAAACGTTGGTTAAAGCTCTTCTGTCTTCACTTCTGTTCCATGAAGCCGAGACGCGGAACAAAGATAACTCATTCTTTTCAGTGTTTGTGTTAGTCGGTGTTCTCGACATAGAGAGCAATTTAGCATTACCAGCTTTGAAGCTCTCTAGTCTAACGAAGGCTGTACTACATTCTTTTCTTTTTAAACTTAAACCAAGAAATCCATTTGGCCCCAGCTGCTCAGCAAATGTAATTTTTGCGTTGGTCTCTGCACATGTTAGTCCAATTTCCTTTGACATGAAGTCCTCTATTCGTTTGGCAGCAATGTAGCCTTCGGCAACGAAGGGCAGCGAGTAAGCCATGCCAAGAGCCACAGAAAAATTTATTACATTAAGGCAGGATAGGATTGTAAACATTTCCAAAGCAGTAATATGTTCTCCAGTAGATATCAAAGTTATTATAGATAGCAGACTGGCCAATGGCCCTGTTGTGTAAATCACGGAATTTAGGCCGGACACAATGAGCCCTCGTAGTTTGACAAACCACATTTCTCGCCTGTGAAGGAAAATGATTAAAACGTGAATGACTTAAGATGTTCGATATCAAAATACCTCGCCTCTGTTGGTCGTCCCTTTTATTTGGGAGAACAAGAGGAAGGGTGGAAATAAAATAATATTATCGTTATAATAAAAATAATAATAATAATAATAAAGATAATGATTATCATAGTAATATAATAAAAGGAGGAAGAAGAAGAAGAAGAAAGATGATAATGGAGATAGCAATAAAAATAATAATGATAAAAATGACAACAATGGGTTCTTCTTTCCAACTATTTTCAGGCACAATGGGAATTTGGAGTGTGGGTTTTTGTGGGTGGAGTAAAACCGGAGGACCTGGAGAAAAACCGGGAAAAACCGAGCAAAGAGGGGAGAACCATCAACAAAATCAACCCACACGTGACGCCAGGTTCAGGTGCTCTCTCCGCTATGCCATCCCCTCTTCCCAGTTAGTCTGGTTTGTTAGTTTTTTTTTTATGAAAACAAAAAAGAAAGTATATGTGCAGACTTAAAGACTTGAAAGCCCACGAGTGGGAAATACGGATATCCAGCTACAAAAGAAAAGCCTCTTGAATTACTTTGGATGGTTGCTCAAAATCGAAGGTAGAGGTAAAACATTGTTATGGTATTTTTTTTTCCTCTGGGCATAGGAACATGAATGAATCACTTTGTTTTGCTTATTCTACCTCCTTAGTTGCTTGATTACTTCAGCAAAGTTCATTTCCCAGGCGTAGATTTTAACAGCTCGAACACCATATACAACCTCGTTCATAACTTTAAGTCTTTTGTCTCTAGCTTCTGCTGCTTTGAGGCGTAGTGTTCCACTATAATGTGACAGTAACATGATGGTAGAAATGGATATTAAATAAAATGAAACTCCGACAAGAGCTTTCCATCCTGTCAAGGCCAGAAGAATTGTGCAAGAACCCAGAATCTCGATAGGAGAGAACAGAAAATTGTTCAATGCCCAAAAAAATTCTTCCATCTTCTGAGCATCGTTTGAAACAAGATTTATGGTCTTTCCCGAGACAATTTTCTGAAGGTCACAGCGCTTAAGCTGCGTTAGAATCTGTGTAAAAAGAGCAATATCACGCAGTGTTAAGTAAATATTCAAAGATGCTTGGTTATTTTTTGTTGTGTTCTTCAAACGCGAAACGACTCCACTTTAAGAAGAGACCTTTGATACAAAACGACTAAACTGTAACTAACAAGAAAACTACAACACACGCGGTTTAGAACGAAAACGAATATCAATAGATTCCTTGACAGTTCTGGGTTACGTAACTCCTGTGACGTTTAAAGTTAATTAATATAACAATTTTCAGAAAACAGTTTTGCTTGAAAACATAACCATGAGTTGGTGAACCACTGTTTTGCGGAATAAAACCAAACTAAAAAATATATTAAGAAAAGAAGCAAATGAACAGCCGTTAGGGTCAACCTCGTTTCCAGGGTATTAATTTTTATCACTGCACCTCAGAGGGAGGGGAGTAGGGCAAGAAAATAGTTCTCTGAATCCGCCTCGACTAAGAACAGGATTTATTCTCTTATTTAATAACGTTTTGGAACCTTGGTTGCTAAGTGACACTCATATTTAACTATAACTCAATTGTTACATCAATGCGTGGCATAGAAGACCAAAGAGGTAAGTCCCCCGTCTTCAGGCTCGTACCCAGTTTCTTCCTCCACGAATACCATCGAAATGAAGTTGTGAAAACTAAAGAGCGGCCCTTACAGATTAAAAGGTCAGCAGCATAAAAGTAGAAGTTAGTCTGTTACACTTTGCTTCAAATCCGTGGCACTCACCTTTTTGTAGATGAGCCCTACGCACGCCACTTTTAGTCGTATGCCCCATATTTGTGTTATTCCATAGTAGTGGTTCTTCGTCAGTCCCTTGATTGAAGAAAGAAAAATTATACCGCCAATGAACAGAAAGGTAGAAACAGAATATCCTTGCTGTTCTCGTCCCAGGTCCGACAAGAAAAACCACAGCAGCAACGGTAAGAAAACGGTGGCAAGAAGTCTAAGTACTTTCAAAACAATCAGCATCATGTACGCCCGCCATGAGAACATTCGGGATAATGCTCTCCACATGCGAGGTTTGCAGCCTCGGGCTCGGCTGTTATTAACTTCTCGTTGCCATTCAATTTCAAGTTTTTGAACAAGTTGATTCATACCGTCTGCCTCGCGGACGGGAAAAATGTCTTCCTTTTCCAGAGGTTTCCCGCTGCCAAGTCTTAGGACGGTGTTCATCCAATGCAATGTTACTCGAGAGAGCCAGTTTGCAGAATCATAAGGATGTGGGGCTGTCGGACGACTACTAACCGCCGGCTTATTCCTTTCCATGTTACGTTGGTTATTCTTTTCTTTTGCTTGTTCTGTAAAAAATAAGACAGCACTTCAACCCTTAAACGAGCAGGCTACGTAACCCACCCTATCTTGTCATAAGCGACAGGAGAGGGGAGGGGGCGGGAGTGGGAAAAGTAAGGGGGGGTGGATCAAGCTTTAGATGGTGAGGAGCTCTTAAAGATAACGTACACCTTTTAAGAGCCGTGGTGGTGCTGAAGGCTTGACGTGATTGACTCTCAGCAAATTTACGTAGAGATGGCCTTACTTCGTATTACTTGGGCCTATAGGGGCGTTATTCTAAAACATTTCACGACCAAGGGTTGGAAAAGCTACTGATAACCTAAGGTACTAGCTAATCTCGTACTCAGATCCAACCGTGTGACAGAACATCTTTCTTTAAAAAAAGGTTGCATTGTTGTGTTTGTTATACAAATCAGGGTGGCACTGATCTAATTGCAATGTTAATTTCGTCATCACACATGCGAGGGTATTTCTTGTATGCTAACTAGCTCTTATGGAGACTATAAGGCATAGATTAGTTATTTACAGTTGGTTATTATTAGTTATTCTGGAGAGAAATCTCCTATGATTTGAAAGACCTGAATACCAGCCTTCCGCTGCCATTAAAATCAAAGATGGCGGCCATAATTTTCGCTCACAAAATACTGAGCACTCGCTCGCCAAAATTACGCCTACTCTGCAGGCTAAAAGTTGTCCGGTCGAAAATCCGCAAATTAGTTCATAGACCGTGAATCAATGAAAGGAATGCTTTCAACCACAACATGCAAATTTACTTGACCCCATTTCATCACACACTGACTGGTTTGAAAGGCCAATCAAGTCCTTCACCACTTCAAATTCCTTAGAGCACTTGCTCCAAAATTTATCCAATTTCTTTCAGAAGACAGTCTTAATCTTTACTCGCCGACTCTCATCAGCGTATAGACATGTATGCCGGAGAAGCACAAACGCTGCGAACGGACCTGAAGAAATGAAACGTGTATTTCAACGCTCGCAGAAACTGTTGGAAAATATAGTCATGTCGAAAGATTTTTCTATAGTTAATCATACGTAATAAGTTCATTGACCGTGAACTTATAACTACAACATGCAAATTTCTTAGTTCTCGTTTCATTTTACACGGACTGGTTTAAAAGGGGGCTCACGTCCTTCACTGAATCATGTTGCTTAGAACTATTAGTTCAAAAGTTGTCACATTTGTTAATAGGCAATTTTGTATTTTGTTCTCGTTTACTCTTCACAGAATCGTGGGAATACTATCTCGTTGGTCTACCAAGCGTTTGATAATGAGCAAAATAAAATGATAAAACGCTTCGACTAAATGCCCAGCAGCCGGGTACGGTCTCAAATAGACTAAATGGGCTCAGGAAATATCAGATGTTTGTTTAAAAATGTCAAGCGATTTAATTTGGTTTACTGTAGACAGACTCTCTGCGCTTGAGCATACTTTCATATCGCTCGGTTCTCGACACGCTTCCGATCAGACTGCCGGGCACGGTCTCGAATGGACTAAATATCCGGCAGTTAGCAATTTTCACCAAAATACCATTGAAAGATTCCTTGAAACTTCTAAAGGGTATTATATTTTGGTAAGAAATGTTAAGTGATTCCAAATATTAATTTGTTTTTTTAGTGGACAAATCTTCTAAGCTAGTGCAGACTACAATGTAGTATAATGTTAGTATGTTTTGGTATGGTACGTGTAAGCTTAACCACTTCTGAAAAAAACGAAAATTTCAAAATCGACCTCGAATGTACGCAATAGGTTTGTACGAATTTTTCGGTAGCATTTTGGGGACATTAGTCCATCGAGGCCGTGCTCGGCAGTGTGATCAGAGACGGGCAATTTTTAAGTGTCGACAACTGAGCGACATTATTGCATGCTCAAACTCGGAGAGTTTGTTCGCTGAAAAAGACAATTAATTTGTAGAATCACTTGAAATTTCTAAAAAAACATCCGATAATCCTAAGAAGTTAGAAAGAATGTTTCGGTGGGAAATCTGTGAAATTTTCTCACTGCTGGGCATTTTTTCCTATGCGAGACCGTGCCCGGCTACCGGGCATTTAGATGACAAAATCCTTGATTTAAGAATAATGCAACATGCAATGGTCATTCATGGAATGCACTGGAAGCTTTAAAAGCGACGTAAGCTTCCATAGTATAACCATAATGCATTTCTTTCAGTCACCCGGTCCTCTGTGTCGCCCTCTATACCCATATGCACGATCATTCTACATTACTCTTTCACAGACCTTACACCAGGATAATGACCTCAACAGAAAATGGTTGCCTTCACCCTTCGGAGCTTCGCCTCTCCGCTGACTGTCTTTTTACGAATTACAGTTTTACCCCGAGCAATGGTATTATCCTCCAATATCTCAGGTATCGGTATAACATGTCCGAAGGCGTTGAAATTATTACCGAACAGCCACAGGGCTTCCATGCAGCAAGTGACGCAACAGGTAACGCAACGGAAAAAAATCCAGCCCTAGTCTCCTTCGCAGCCGTTATCAAGGATATCACGCAGCGCTCATTATAAACGGTTGGCAGTTTCAGGTCTAGCTTTTAATTACCTTTTATATTTGGCACAATCTCATCCCAATCATGTAAGATACGCAGCACCCCAGTGATGGATGCTGATCAACCAGCTGAGACTTTCTCGCTTTGCCAAAATGTTGTGTTCAGATTCATCCAGCTATTTAAGGGCCTTTTAGAATTTGGCTGATTGAATGTAGTGGGTTAATATTGTTCAGACTGAGTGCACTCTAACATCAATTCATATCGAGATCGTTTGAGAATAAACGGGTACACAAATAAACCCCATAATGATACCTGTAGAGTATAACTTACCAGTAAATTCTCGAAGAGAATCCAATTCTCATTAAACATCCACTGTATCCCCCCTTTACCTATATAAAAATCAAAAGTTGTATAGAATCCTTTGGCAGAGGACAAAAACACTCTTCAGGTGCTAAACTGCAACTGATTTTTTCCTCACCTTCCTTTCATAGCTGCACACTATTAATGGTAACTGAAGAAACTGAGTAGGGCTTGGCGGAGAGACACAGGAATGTTTTCCTCATTCTTTTTGCACGTCAGTGGTAGCCATCTCAGTAACTGTTGCTGTTGCACCAATAGGATGGATTGATATAATACAGACTGAAAGAGAATTTCAATCATTATCTCGAGAAGTTTAGAATTTAGAACAATTTATTTAGAAGTTTAGAACAAGCACACAAAAGAACGAGTGAAGCAAACAAAAACAATCTATGCACGAAATGCAAAAATATATGTATTTTACGAGCCATTTGTCAAACGAGGGTTTGAGGGCTACCTCAACACAGGTAAAAACTAATTAAACATATTGGCTCTATTTGACAGTCAACCACATGTAAATTAAAAAGCAAATGACATCTTATTTACTAAGGTAAGATCACTGTTGGCTTTAAAAAGAGTCTTGGTAAAGATGACCAGGGACTACTGTTTTCCTTATGGTAAAAATAGTCAAAAGAACCCACACTACTGAGCAATTGTTACATGCTTTGTGCAGACAGGAACATTGAGACTCCAATCATGTGCAACCTCTGGAAAGCTGCTCACTGGTGAAGTTTACAATGCGTATATAATAAGCGGTTTCAGAAACGTCACTATTCCAGACAAAACTCAGAAGTGAGAAGCTATTTTACGCACTAAAACAGAAAAGGAATGTGTATTCCAACGTCAAAAACTAATTGAAAAAAACTCGTTCTTATATTCAATAATACATTGTAAGGTTTTTGTGACTATGAAATCTCTTACTGGGAGAACATCACCAAACATTTACGAGATCATTTCAAATCAAGTTTAAAGGATCGCTACAGTATGGACTCGTTGAAAACCTATTTTTCGGTTACATATCTTGCTTCAACTCTTACATCGACAGCTTACTTGGAGGTTTACCAACTTACTTATATCTCGCTTTCCCTCTTTAAAATTTTCGGAATGTTGCCTCGCTGGTCTTCCGAGCGTATAAACAAGATATAATATATAAAATAGAATAATTGACTTGAAACACTAAAACTAATTATACAAGCTAAGCATTTAAATTAATGCGAGAGTGGTATTAAGCCAGCATAATTTCTAAGGCCAATATAGGACGGCTCTCAAACTCTGTGATCATGACCGAAAGGGAAGAACACGTATTCAATTTGCAAAAGGCATATTAAGAAACAAATCCCAGACTTTTGGGGAGAAGAATCGCATTTTAATTTCATTTCGTACAAAATCAATCATGGTTAATTCCATACTATCGATAAAATAACAATTGAGGCGGCTACCGGTGCGCGTGTAATAAGGATGACGACAACAATTCCTGTGTCCCTCAGCCAAGACCTGCACAGTTTTTTTTTTCAATCACCAGTCTATATCTATGCAAAGAAGCTAAGAATAAAAAAAATCGGCCGCGATTTAGCTGCTGAAAGGCATTTGTGTCCTCAGCGATGAGATTTGAAAACAACTTTTAATCTTTCGTCAATGTATTTTCCATGATTTGGGCTTTTACTCTTTATTCCTTTGGCTTACATTTTCCCCTAATTGGTATTCTTCACCAGTTCAGTGAACATTCCACCATTCTGCATCAAAATTTCAGGTTTGTTAAATTCCATTACTCGTCCGCCATCAAGAATCAGCACCT